GTGTGTGTGTGTGTGTGTGTGTGTGTGTGTGTGTTTGTGTTTGTGTTTGTGTTTGTGTTTGCCTGTAGATCCTAGATCTCTACCACATTTCACGCTGTGTATGATCGTAGGCCTGCTTTATGAATGAAATTGTGCCAATAGTATCCAGGAAGAGTATCCATTCTGGAAGCCAACAAGTTTGAAGGACTTGTTTAGTCGCCTCGCACATCTTAAGATGTTAGATGAACGCTAATAACACTTTCTTTGGTTGTTTCACTGAGATAAATACTGTTTAACGCCGCAGTGCACGCTCCGAAAGTTATCGCAAGAGTGCTGAGTTGTGGGCAAAAGTAAGACCCCAGACGAGAGCCGAATCCACATATCTCATTTACCGGACGCTTGCATTAAACGTTACGCGGCCAGGGCCGCTTTCCCCTCTTAGCTCAACGGGCTTTTGTGCCGTAGCCTAGCCTTACAGCACTCAAACGTTTAACATGGTGACTGTAGACTTTTGCTATGCTTTAAAGACAGTTCCCGCGATGGAGTGGTCAGCGAAATGCCTCCGTGCGTTTTGCATCGTTGTCTGCATTCGCAGAGAATATACCACTTTTGTCACTAGGAATGGCGAGATAAAGAAGCTGGAGAGGCGTGATTATTGCAACCATTGCAACCATGATTACTTTCACTCTGCAAGACAACGGCTTACAAGCGGAATTGCGTGTGTACATAGCGTTGCCTGGAGCGTCGTAGGTGATTTCCTGTGCTCTTGCCGGGAATTGGTTGCACGTCGAATCCTGCTGGTTGGGCTTACCGACTTTCGACAAACTCTCCCAAGGCGCCCACTGCTGAGGGGGTCCCTGTTCAGAGGGTTCCCGGGTTTTTTTTCGCTTCCTTCTCTACTGGTGAGTTACTTGTAGGCTACTGGTTCGTGATTCGTGACTGAGCACCCACTACCCTTAACATTTGATCGCAGGAATTGTCTTCAAAGAACCCTTAGCAGACTTCTCCATCCATTCTGTGCCTTTCTGGAATGGCGCAGCAAAATGACCACTTTTGTTGTCCCTGTATTCGCCACTCATATGCGAAAACATTTTGAGAAAGCGCTGCGTGATCTGAAAGACCCTCCTTTTCAGTCGAAAAATGTGTACCTACTGAATCCCTCTGACTTGGCACCACCAGTCTTACGGAACTTTTGTGTGTTGGTCGGGAGCCCCAAAATCACCGTTCGTCGTGCATGTGCACTGCATTCTCTCTTCCCACCTCTTCAACCTTCTTGAAAGCACGTATTCTGTTGTGACGATCTTCAATATTTCCAGCCGATACAAGATGTTGTGCGTCATATTGAACGAGGCTACCGTATGGAAGCACCTGAAGGATGTCCTGCTGATATCGTTCGTATTATGCATGACGCTTGGGCGCTGCAACCGCAAGATAGACCGACATTCGGACAGGTACGCAGAGTTTTGTCGTTCATTACTTGCACTTCAAGTCCCAGAGATGGAGAGGGCGGCCTGCGTTCTCCATTTGAACATTATGTAGGGTGGCCTTTTTGTGAGTTGTTTTCTTTTGGAACAACTGTCATCCTGTCTTATGCCTGGCAAAAACTTGATCACATTCATTCCAAACCACAGTAACCTTCAAAATTTGCCAGGTTCCAGTGGTGTGCGCACGCACGCCCACCCCATCTACGGGATATGTAGTGTGTATGCTGCAAAAAAAAATCAGAAATTAATTTTTTTTTCTGTTTCGTCCTACTGAATGGCTGGATACCTCTTTGCCAGTGATAAACTGGTGTTTGCGTTGAATATAAACCGCGAATGAACTCTGTGTTATGAGTTCATTGGAAATTTTTTCTTCAACCAGTAAACAACTGAGCAACTGCTAGCAATTAATTTCAGCTTGAAGCGTTTATAAGGTCCCATCTACACCAGGCTATCAAAAAGTTACTCTTGTATTCGAATAAAATAAAGTGGTTGGAAGCATATACTAGGGCTGTAATATCATTGGAGGGTTTTTGGTTAGTCGTACTCTCAGGAGGAGAGTCAATTCACGTGCGTGTTTTTGTCGATTCGGGTACCTCTACGTGCTGCCTGGCGCATTAATTGTAAACGCAATGATACGTCCATTTGTCTTTCCGTAATCTGACCCTATAAATAAGCGAGTTGAACTGCTGAGGAGATGTGTTGTCTTTGAGAATATGTTTGGTCGTGCATCGTGAATGTTTTATTAGCTGAAGTGCGAGGATACCCACTGAGGACTTTTGCTGAAGCTCTGATCAATAGTCAAAGAGGGACAAATAGATCGCAGGGAATGAGGGGGCCTTTGGAAAAATGAAGTGAAGGTGTGGCAGGTTCTCGGAACGGGTTTTTTTATGAACACAATTCGCTGTCAGTTACTCACTGTATTTCACACCATGTAAATTGAGAAGAGTGAAATTGTCAAAATTAATGTGTTCCTGACTGAGATGCTCAATCCTAGGATCGACGGAAAAGTATATAAGCATTGAGAACGAAGGGGTACTGATAGAATGACGGGGTGACTTAGTGGGGGGATTATGGGGACCTTGTTCAGCTGCCTCCGTATCCTTCGTTAGTCAAGAGCTGGGCGCGACTCAATGAAGGCTATGTATTATCTGCAGAATTATATCTTGGCCACCTGGTCATCTGCGCTCTATGCCTAAAATTTTTTTTAGGAAGAGATGTCTAGCTGCGGCCAACTGGTCCCCCCTCTCAACAATGTTAGCGACGAATATGGTAATTTTCGGAGAGGCATTTTCTGTGTGGTAAACGCTTCAAAGCTCTGAGTCATCAAAGATCTTCTTACGCCAACGGTTTGTATGCGATGGAAGTCTTGTGATTACCTTGCCGACGTTTGAAATGAGCCGCTCTATTCGCGCAAAGCATCCGAGTATCTTAAGTAACGTCTATTCAGTCGAAATCGTTCAGAGCAGTAGAGTTGCGTGTCCAGTTGCTGTGGCACCCTTCAGGAAGGGGTGCTCACCGCTTCCCTCCACCCTGGCTGTCGAAGTATTTGCTCTACTTCTGCAGCTGCGTTGCTTGTTGTGAAAGTGGAGCGCTACATGGCTCACTGGACTCCTTCCCTTCCATCAACCTGAATTCTACTTGAAAAAGTGTAACTTCATCTGCAAAGCACTTTGCAAAGTGCTGGGCGAGATACCATTGAGAATAACTCTGCCCAAAATACAAGGAATCGTGAGGATTGTAAGATCGAAGTGGACAACAACGTCACGAGATTTTAAAAATCAGAAAAATTCACTGCGAAAACAACCCTTTTTTTGCTGCATATATCTTCGCGAAAATTCGTCCGTCGCAGGTTTTGGTCCGAGAGTCTGCTTCAGTTGCAACAAAAGGGTCCCTTCATTAGATTGTTCACATTTCCATCAAGGAACCTTGGAACATTTCTCTGTAAGTCTCTTTCATTGTGGTCAAAAGGGCGTAGGTCGCCTGCAGGGCCGAAAACAAGTCAAAATAAATGGCAGTGAATCTGGGAGTATAACTGAGTATAACTGTATAACTGAACCTGATATGTTGCGTTGTTCCTTTTTGATCTACAAGATCGTGCGCCTCTGGTATGTAATAGCGAACAGAACCGAGGCGACTTCTGGTTCTACCATTTTTTGGTGGTTAAGTAGACAGCTTGCAATTACCAACGTTTTCATGCGCCAGTGCCTTCTTTTTCGTCGTGTTGGTTCAGCAGGCTTCGCTCATTAATCAATTCCTTGAATGCCTAGTGAACAACTAAGTAATTATGCTAATGACCAATTCACGGAGAATGGGCAAGTCCATGAGCAGGTAGTCTAATGGGTACGAAGTGTTACGCTTACACTCATTCCACACCTAAGCCGTCGTTGAACTGTTATCATAGCCAAGCCCTTCCTCGCGCTGAATTGCCGAACATTTTAACAGCTAATAAGTATCATTGTGATGGCCAGAACTACGTTACGAAACCCTCTTATCGATCATCGAGGTTCGCTTTCATCGGGGGAGGGTTCGACTTGCATGAGCCTCCGGCGAGCGTTTCGCTCATAATTTTCCATTCCGATCGTGTTTTTCAGTTCTTTAAATAGTTATATTCGATCATGCCGAGTTGCGAAATCCTTTTCGTCATTTGGCTTATTCTCCCTCTGCGATTACTGAGGGTCAAATTTTAGTCTCAAAACGAAACTCTGTACTCGAAATGCTTGTACGAGGACAGTGGAGATATTGTTCCTGGACTAGTTGTGAGGGAGAAATTGAGATCAACGGCTCTTACGACCACTGTTCCTGAGGCGAACATGAACAAGCGAGATGAGCACGGCATATCCTATTATGGCTCCTTTGAAAGCAAAGGCAAGGAGAAAAGCGAAAGTGAAAAGCGGAAAGAAGAAGGTAGGAGTGTTCTCCACTCTATCAAATGACAGCAGTGATGGAATGGACACCTCAAAGACGACTTCTGAAGAACCGATATCCTCCATCACGAACGGTACAGAAAAAGTGATTTCGTCGGAAGATGACGAAGAAAGTACCACAGAGACGAGCGAAGAGCAAGTTTCAAAGGCATCAAAAGAGGAATCCTCTCCACAGATGTTCTCTGATAAGATCCAAATAGCAAATGAACTCGTGCCAGACAGCGAAGAGGACCAGGTAGCAAAACAGCTTGGGCCTGATAGCGGTGACATTGTGGAGAATGTGACAGAAACAGCAGGTGGGCACCTTTTGTATCGTTATTGCCAAAGCTGAGACTAGGCTGGGTGAGTGTGCGGAGTCGTGGTAATAGTAAACAAGCCTTTGACCCGCAAAAGAAGGCAGTAGGAGGTACCAGTGCCGACGGTAATCCCACCCACAAGTGCATTGCGGCTTCTGCCTCTGAATAGTTGAAAATAATGCTGTCATAGATGAAAAAAATGAAAAAAGACTCAGATCTCAAAAAGGTCTGAGTAATGTCGATTGCGTAATACTGATGCCCTTCCTAACCCGTAAAGAGGTTATCTGTGGTCACCCTGGAACTGAACTTGAGAGCACGTTCCGCGACATCTGGATGGGCGGAGACTCATGCTGTGCAACTGGTCGGTGCGCTCCCACTTTTGACACGGTAAAGAGGTGCTCTCCTTTGATAAAATCAACACGAGGGTGCCCTTAATAAGGAGGAGACAACATTGGTTTTTGCCGCTTTCTCCGCCCGTCTTTCATAAGGGAGTGCCCCTGCAGGTTCCATGTGTGAAACTCGGTTTCCTTCAGAGAATGTCAGCTCAAAATTTACACTTTTTGAGCGCATTTGACTAGGCGTGTGCTGCCTAAATTCCCTTCAGCCGGAGACCGAGCGTGTTTGAACGTCTGGATTCTCGTGTAAACCTTCACTCATGTTGTCCACGATGCCCCCCCCCCTCCCCTTCCCTTTCCACCAATCCTAGTGACCCCACTCTACCCCATAAATCTTTGCTCAAGGACTTGGTGCGTGATTCCTTACTATTTTTGTGATGTATAAATGCTGACTGACCGCTTTATCGTACTTTGGGCATAGTACGGGGGCTTTTAAACGGATTTCGCTTTTATGATGTGGCCTAGCCGTAAGAAGATTCTTAGTAATTTCTTCGGAAATTTCAGGGTCGGACGCCCAGCAGCAGCCAGGTGGAGGCAGCAACATGACAACGCAAGGTTTCAACCCTACCAAGCAGCAGCCAGGAGGAGGCAGCAACATGACAACAGGAGGAGGCAGCAACATGACAACAGGAGGAGGCAACAACATGACAACGCAAGGAGTCAACACTACAGTTACTGGTAATACAACCACATTACTGCAGAAGGGACATAAAAATGGGCCTTTACATGGACAATGCCCTTGGAATTAGTGGGCGCGGTAGCTTGGCTAAGCTCACAGTGAGACGACGCCCACTAGAAGGGAAGCCCATCATATTTCTGTGGTTTATGGCTCTGAGCCAACGGTTGGGCCCGAAGGGATTTCCAGTATTTTTCTATGTTTCAGGGTTGAGCACTCAACAACCATCGGGAGGAGACAACATCACAACACAGGGAGTAGGCACTAATGTGACTGGTAAGTTAACTACTTAGGTTAGAGGTAAACTGGACACTCATCTCCGTGGATCCTGGTCCTTGCCAAAAATGAGGTGAACGGGTTCGCAGTCGCAGAAGCGTGCCACTTTCTCCAGTTAAGGGCGCACGATAAAGCGGCTGAGGTGGTGATACCCGGGTACCGTCGCCATATTCCTCCCGCACCTGCCGCACGGCCAGCCACATGCCGAACCATAGCCAAACGCGCTGTCTGCCTCCCTCATTTCTAGTTGTTCTCTACCGCCGAGTATTGTATTATTGTTCGCAGGGGATCGTGGCATCGATGCAAGTGATACACACTGAGTATATCGTGGGGGGTGGGTACGGGGGAAGGCTTTTGGGTATGACTACCCTCAGCCACGTTGCTCTTCATTTTTGAGCGGAAGTGGTACACTCGAAATCCCTGAGATGAGGTAGGCGTGGCTGCGTACTTCAACTAAACGTCGTGGTGGCTATGCTTTTGGAGAGATATTTTCATTTTGACCCAAATGTGGTCACGTCTCCAACAAAGAACAAGATGGCGGTTGTCTCAAATTGAAATATCCCACGAGTAACCAGTTCTGTGCCATGTTCGAATGCCACGCCTACCCGTCTCAGGGATAAGGAGTATACATTGCTGCACGTGCGGATTTCACCTCGCGGGTTTTCAGCCTCGAAGAGTGTACCACTTTGCCACCTGAAAGCGTCAGGTACGAAGCCGATACTTTTATGTTGAGCATCATCGCACTCCTTCTGACGGGCTTCACTCGTTTTGCATTTTCATAGAAGATGCTTTCGTGATCACTCTCTCTGCTCATTTGTCTGGTTCTCTCCCGTACGCCCAGTATATCTCCGTCTCTCGCTTCACAACATACTTCTCAATACTTCGCAGCATTAAACGCTTCCCACTGTTAAT